GTTGTGTTTATGAGGAATGTTAAATTACAGAGTTACATGTTACTCATGTTTAAAACAAAATTGTCCCATAGGTGCAGTATTTGAAAAATTAATAAATGTGGATCGTGGTTTGGTCCATACTCATTCAGCCTGTCTGCCACATTAAGATAATTGAACTTGTCAATTTGGAGAAAGCACAGTATTGCTATGGTTATGTATATGCTTTGTATCAAAATATGCCGCTTTATGTTTTTTCTTCTTCCATAAGAGTGTTAAATAGAGAAGTTCCTAATGTTACTAAGGTATATACAGAAAATGTGTGTGGACTTCAGCTATCAAGTAGATGGGTACCTATGCATGTATACTGGAACCCTTATATAATGCTTTCTCTCATTTCATGTTCAGTTTCAGTGATCCCAAGGCAGCAGTGTGTGTCACTGTTAAATCCGATTTTCATTGAAACCTTAAATGGTGGCTCTACTGAAATTGTGATGTTGGTCTGTTATTTGAACCACCTGTTTAGTTTCAGAGAGAGACATGTTTCTTTAGGGCCTAGGAGTAGTGAGATGGAGCCCAGGCCAGTCACAGATGTGGGACCTCCACCCCACTCAAAAAGCCATATGAATATATATAAAGAACTTCAAAATGGGATTTTCTGTCGAATGAATATTGAAAGCCAGAGACCAAGAATAATAAGCCAGCAATTCCGTTAAACTGGATTCCCACATTATTATTTACCTACAGTTTTTTAAATTAAATGAGAGTATACTTGGGGCCCCTGTAGGCTATGGTCCAGGGCAAAATGTCCCTGCTACCCCCCTTCCCCCTATATGGGCCTGTGTTTAGAGGTTTATGACAGTTTAGAAGTTTAGAGCAATTATTTTTTAATTCTGAGATTGCTTGTTTGATGACTGTCTGGCATGCAACCTCCTTTAACTCATTCTTATATTTATCGCCAGATTTCTGAAATACTTCAGGGTATTCCCTATTTTCATCCTTCACCTAATATACTGTATGTGTAAAACATTCCATCCTATCCTAAAAGCCTGTTCATTTCATGGCACAACTGCTGTTTTTATGCACAGTGAATAGCATGCGGTTATGTTTCTTGTACTAGAAGTGGAATTATACCTTTGTACAGTAACACTTTCTTTACTTTTGTGGCATGCTCTTATATAAGTTACACTGAATACATTTGGGTGGATTTCAAAACAAATTGGACTATCAGGTTTAGTGAGAGATGAACTGCGTTTATTAAGAGCAGCATTGTTTGTTAATGACTTAGAATTTGTGTTGTTTCAGCATTTCTTTATTTTGTTCCATATATTTTCTTCTGAATTATGCTGGAGAGCAAATGTTTTGCATTGTGTTTTCACTATATTCTAGAATAGGGTGTCATTGTTTTGGAAACAATTAACAATTTTAAGTATGAGTTGTATGTAATGGTTCTGTCCAATTATTTTATGATGAGCATTTCTTCAGGTCATATGTGCAGTTCACTTAAAAATTAAAAGATAACTTCTTTAGGCACTACAGGAATGACTACTGAGTCACTGATTCTGTTAGTATCATAAAATGGAGTACATTATGAACATTGGACCACATTTTGTTATTTTACTTATTAGTATATTCATATGCCTTCATTTATGTTTAGTTGGAAGTGCCTTTTCTCATTAATCTTTATTCAGCGTAGTATCATTATTCAGTGCTTGAATGGACATTTCTGTGAGCTGTGTTGAAACTTAAGATTCTGATTCTAGAGGCTTCATAAAGTTGGTATTGCACATTTTTGTTGTTTATATTCTGTGTTCTCCAGAACTTAATACTGGCTTGTTCAAAAGCATGACAAAGTAATCTGACCATGATTTACTTTTGTTACTTTAATTGTTTCTTGCATCCTGTTGTGTATTTAATCAATATGAGAGTCAATTTTACCGACCACACAACATATTTTTATTATTATTACACTACATGTTTCGACCTCAGGTGTACGAACACAGCTGTATAATTACACGCAATCACATTCGTCTTCTCACTTATTCGATCCTGTATCTTATTCAGGCTCACGCTCAATAATATATCAAGCTCTCTCATAAAACACAAGTTAAAATTGTTCTAAATGTC